TTGATGACCAGTTATACAAAATCTCATCAACCTAAAAGCTTGCATGCAGGAGCGAGGTTGGTTTTCAGAAAACGCCAAAGGCACATTTGATATGACGACGGGTTGGTGTCACCAGCTCGAAAATTCACGAGTACAACTCGATTCCTTCCGACGAGCCTTATATCTTCATATATATAATGGTAGGGGGCGTTCACCGATCGTTATTACGGAACTCACTCGTTTCATTTTGCCTTATGGCTTCTCTCTCTCGAACCCAACCAGCAGCCGCACAGCAGCGCATGATATAGGCAGTATGTTATCACCGACATTGTATATTCCCGACCGAAACCGACAGGGCAACGGGCTCGTGGCCCGGTGGTTCGAGACGTGCACTTCTAAATAACAAGTCGCTAGTTCGAGCATCGAATGTTCCACACTTCGGGGTTGGGTATGACTGACTGACGACGGCTAATAAGCCAGAAATGGCCATTCCGGTCCCCCTTGTCTTCGTCGGTAATAACATACTACACCTTCTCCTACCTGCCAACTCCTTTCAATTCCTTCTTCAGTTGTCCTGTAGAGAATATACAATTCTTCCAACTTCATCTTCTCTTTCCATTCGGGACCGCTCCTGAAGGTCGTGGTACCCAGAGTCTCACTCTCGGCTTAGATTTCTGCGATAAGAGTAGTCATAATGACCGCATTAAGAAGTAGCCAATGCGGTCTGTCCTCAGCTGGCTACCTTCCAAAACAAGATATTTGGCGATTCGTGACGCCTTCAGGCGCGCCAGATTTATTGCGATAATGAATGCGTCTTTTACTGACAAAGAAAAGGAAGACTGGAATGACCATTTCCGGCTTATCAGCCGCCGTCAGCCAGCCATATCCAACACCAAGGTATGGCATACCTAGGGCCCGATCCTGCGGCCTTTTGGTTAAAAGTCCAGCACTCCTCGAGGTAACTGATCTTTCCTTTGAGCGGCCGGAGGCCTGTTGGCGTCAGGCGGTGTGAGTGGGTGATCCGGGAGCTACCATCGTCGGGTCAGATCCCAAGTTGTAGGGAGAAGACAGAAGGCACCAGAATGAGGGGTTTATTGTGCAAAGAACCCGGAGTCGTCCTCTCAGGCGGCAGTGGCCACTGGCGAAGCCAGGGCTGGCGTTGACTGCGTACAGTCATGCCTGAGAGTCCCTGAGATAGTGGTGACAACCGCTTTTGTAAGCTCGTGGGCCAAGCTCAAGTGGTGTCCAGTCAGTGTGTGTTGCATTTGCCGAGGAGTGGTGTCCCCAGTGGCTTACGTTGTGGTCGCAGGAAGGGGGGGGGCGCGTTCAAATGGCGCATGGGTAGCCACGACGCTGTGAAGACGCAATTGTGTCGGAGCTAAAGTCTGTCGAGTGGCTTCAGGTTAGCACGTCTGGAACGGCTCGCTGCAAGGAGTGAATGATCTTGAGGCAGTAAGGTTTTGAATACCGACACCAGACCGCATATGATGGCTGCCCGCTACAGATCCACTGGACATACTATTGTCTGACAGACCCTAACGTTCGCACACATGAGTATTGGACGGCCACACCTGGATACGTCTCTCCTCAGACAACGCAATATGACAGTTGGACCGTCAGGAACGACGACGTCCGCCGTGGCTGGGCGAGGGACGGTGACTTGCACGTGAATTAGTTTGCAGTGAGGCGACCTTGCGCAGCATCTGCCACACTCTCCTCTCTCTCCCCCTCTCTCTCATCTACCTTGCTACGATCGCAAGACAGTGTCGAGACGACCATAGATGTATGCGGGCGCATCGGCTTTCCGTCTGCGCGTATCACACGACCTTGTACACACTTGGTGTGCTGGCAATTTGATGGTCGACATTCGCGTCGTTAATTGCTGCAATATCATCACGTGCGTTAGATGTTGGTGTGATGATTGCTCGACCATCTAAAGCAACGACTCTGGTGTTGGGAAAAGTGTTCACCTCTGCGCTCCCCGCATGGCTTGTTACTCCGCCTAGGCGAAGTGTCAGCACGAAGTATGGAGTGGGATGATCGTTGCACTTGTTGATGGACCGGGGGCCAGTAAACCATGATTCCAGTTGCTCCCGGCTCACGCGGTTGTCACCTCTTACGAGAATTTCGGCCTCATCGAATTCGAATGTGTGGTCGGATTTCGTCAAATGAGCCGCAACTTGGGAGCTGGCGTCATTTCTGCGCACTGCTGCAGCGTGTTCGGCCATTTGCGTTCGGAGCAGTCTTTGGGTCTCCCTGACGTATTTGCTTTGTCCGCAACTGCACCAGATCCGATAAATGATTCCCGACGTTTCTTGCCGCGGCAGCGGGCCCTTCGGTTTCATTAACTGACGCCTGATGGTTGCCTCCGGTCTGTATGCAACTCCAACCCCAAGTGGTGCGAGAAGGCGATCGACGGCTTCCGAAGCGTTCTTGACATACGGAAGCGCCCGCCAAGATTTGGTATCTGTGCGGTTAGGCCTTCCGTCCCTTTTGAGCATGTATCTGTTGAGGAAGTTGCGTGGGTAGCCATTGGCTTTGAAGACCCGTTGGAGGTATTGTAGTTCGGCAATTTTGTCTTCCGGCTCACTGCAGTGCGTTTCGACACGCCGATAGGGCGTCCTTACGCAACTGCGTTTGTGGCTGATTGGGTGGTCGTTGTTGCAGTTCAGTACTTGCATAGTATTTGTCGCGTTCCCGAACACTTTGGTCTTTAGTCCACCACAATTTTTGCGGCATACGAGGACATCCAGGATGGCCAACTGGTTGTTCTCTTCCTCCTCAATCGTAAAATGAATGTCCGGGAAAACGGCGTTGAGATGTTTCTTGAATACCAGCACCTGATCCCGTTCGATGACGACGAAGGTATCACCCACATACCGGGCCCAGAACTTCGGTCTGTGGTGTTGGAAGACCAGCGACTCATGAACCACCCGCATCTGCTTTTGTCTCTGATGATGGGTTCGAGCGGGCATCCGAAACGTCAGACTTATAAAGCTCAAAGTCACTATTACCAGTGTATCCCAGTAGATTAGAGCGTGTCGCATTTAGTGTAGGGAGAAATACTCTGATATAGACAACGCAATATGACAGTTCGACGACGTTCAACGTGTGCTGCTTGGGGTGGATGAGGGACGGCGACTAGTGCGCGAACTAGTTTGTAGTGAGACGGGCTTACGCAGTATTTGCCACACTCTCTCCTCTCTCTCACTGACCTTGTTCCGATCGCAAGACATTGCCAAGGCGATCACAGGTGGACGCGGGTACACCGGCCGTCTACACGCGCTGCACCGGGTGTTAATACTGACGGGTAGAATCTCACATCCATTGAGTGCTATAACGGCCAAATTAGGAGATGGTCATCGCAGCCTGTCCCTCGGTACTGATAAGGACTGACACATCCCGGCGGTTAACAACTGTGGCCGGAAGTCATCATGACCGGTCTGTCGTCATTGTTCAAGACCTCGCTGCCTCAAGGTTATTCACCCTTTTGCAGTGAGCCATTCCAGACACGCTGACCTGAAGCCCCTCGACCGACTTTGGCTCGGACACAATTGCGTCGTCGCAGCGTCGCGGCTACCCATGCGCCAAGTGAACGCCCTCCCCCCACCCTGCGACCACAACGTAAGCCACTGCGACACCAACCCTTGGCAAATGCAGCGCACGTCGATTGGAGACCACTTGACTTTGACCCACGAGCCTAAAAAAGCGGCTGCCATCACTGTCCCAGGGACTCTCAGACATGACTGGACGTAGTTAACACCAGCTCTGTCTTCGTCAATAGCCACTGTCGTCTGAGAGAAAAACTCCGAGTTTTGTATACATTGAGTCCTCCATTCTGGTGCCTTCTGTCTTCTCCTTTCAACATGGGATTTGAATTGATTATTGTAGCGCGCTTAGTTCACACTTCCACAGCCTAGTCGCTACACCACCTTCAAAGCCTCTAGCCCTAGTGTATCTTGATAGATTCAAGCGCGTCATATTTATCCTAGTGTGGATCGCGCTGATGAGCCATGTACATGCGCACCCCAGTATCGATCACCGTCTTTCACTCTGCTCCCTTTCACCAATCCACTGTCCGAGCCGGCCAACCAATGAGGGTGGGGGTGGAATTGAGCGCAGTGGCTGACGCGGCGTGAGGATCGCGTGGGCTGCTCTCAACTCCATAGATACATTCTCTGAGCCATTCTGACCCCGCTCTGGTCCAGCAGGTCCGCGGCGCGGCTCGGTTACTTTAAGGAGCACAGAACGCTCTTTTGTGAAGCCCATAGTGGTCAGAAAACATGCTTCCCGAAGAGTTATTTTGTGAGCATTGCACTTTTATTAGATATGACTCATGAAGTAGTGTGGGAGTCCGCGCCTCCTTGTTCTTCGCCACTTTGTCCATCTGTCATTCTCACGCTCCCTGTCGATTCGCTGCTGAGACCTCGCGAGGCTAGTGACAAGCCTCGAGAGATTTCGAGGCCAATCAACGCCGCCTCTTCTCTGATTGGCTGGCGGACGCCAACTATGACTGAGTTAACGGTGCACACATGCGCTGGCGAACACGGACAAACACAACTTGCGGCTACTGCTCGCAGAGCCTCTTACACGTCAGTTAAGTTGTTCAACCCTAACCGTCTTCCCTGGCTTGTGATTTTGGGGTCTGCATTGTCAGCCATACCACCTTCGACAGTAGCCTACTTAGGGAGAACAGTGTCGAAAATAGCATTAGAGAATCCTTCGAGACTTGCGAAGTCAAACTGCACCTAGTTCATCCCAATGGGCTTGCAGGGCGGCCGCTACTTTACGGTCTGACTGATTCGGCCTGACGAACTACTTACTGAGAACCATTTCCAGCCGAACCCAGGAATTGATGCTGTTGGTGCCTGCAATGATACCACGAGTACTGTTGGTTCATAAGTAATATGTATTTTTGAGGATTTCTCTATTCTAGCCGTCTCAGGCGATAGATTAATATTATTCTTCCTTTCGACTCTAAATTATCACTATGTACATGCAAGTGTATATGCATACCTCATTCACGGCCTCTCCTCCGGGGGCTTTCTCGGTGGGGGTGGTTGTTGGGATGTCTTGGAAACCAAAGGGTCGGTCGACTCATTGCCGATGGCGGCAGTGTTTGGCCGCCTCGGAAGCAGAGGGGCCGGCCTTTTATTGGTCACCCCTGGAACCGCCTGCTTCCTCCCCTCTTCTCCTATCCTGGGACTCTCCCCTCCTTGACTCTGAGCCTGCACTGGGGGACCCCTGAGTGGACCTGGCGCCTCCGCCTCACAGGAGGCCGCTGGTGCCACCGCTACGAGGGGGTGTACATTGGCGAAGATGCGCACAGCACAGCCTGGCGCCTCAGGGGAGCCCGCGCTCAGCCGACGCCCGAACTGTTCGGCCAGCCGATCCACCTCGCCGCGGTGGTCAAAAGGCAAGTCCGGGTGAATATATTCGTTTCCCAGATTTGAACCAATCTATAACACAGTAGAATTATTTAAAGGAGAGAGGGCGGAGTGAGAGAGAAAGAACCAGATAGACCCGGAAATCAAGCGATTTGTAGAATTCTGGCGTGGCAAGACAAACATCCACTTTATGCCACACCGGACCCCGCCTCCGAGGGTCAGTCTACTGGTGTTGCCTAAGAGATTTTGATGCCCTCTCTACGCTGAAACAAGAAGACGGAGGCTGTCTGGTCAGTGAGATAAAAAGTCTTCTGCTCGAACCTTTCGGACACAGACAGGAGGAAAACTGTGACTGACAATCTATTGTGGTTTTTCCCGACTAATCATTGTCTAGTTTTTCCGTTTTGAAAATATGCCCTATATGACCCCAAATCCGAACGAAAGAGCCGTTCCGGTAATGGATAGGAGAGCTTTCCACCTTCGTCGCCAGATAGCAGTTACCTAGGACACGAATGTTTACTCCTGAAAGACTCCCGGTTTGTTAACGAATTTTATGCTATTTTATACACACACAGAAGTGCGCACATACGGATTAGCATCAGTGAGAACACGCACACACAAACTTGGATCGACAAAAGCGCCAACCTCAACGCTCATACAAGGGCCACTGACACCAGTTTGCCATCCTGAATTCACCCAGAATTTCGTGAGTACAGTTTGTGACACAGAATGGAAGTTGTAGTTCGTGCCGGTCGAGCTGACGTAACATTTAATTTCGCCTAGTTCTTTCCTGGCAGAAGTGCGAATTTTGTATAAGAAGACAAACACAGTTCACGAACCCCATCACCGATGTATCTTTAAGGTGCCGGTAGAAAGCTTTAAAATACTTTTTGGCTAGATTTGTGAATCGAAATTACTGATAGACGTGGTTAATACAAGACAGAATGCGAATCGCAGGAAGCATCTGGGGAGAATTGGGTACAATTACCGAAACGGCGGTTTTATTTGTCCGATGTTTCGGATTCACACTCGAATCTACCGCCGGAGCCAGCAACCAATAGTTTTGAAGCCTTGCCCGGGTGGCGGGGTGCACGCGGATGATGACTCTTTAAGGTGTAACTGTCGACGAGTCAAGTTGCTGAGTCACTATCGAACCAATAATCAACACAAGGCTAACTTTGCGATAAAGTGCGACACAACGACGGCCAATCAAACAATCATCGCACCGGGAACACCAGTCTTCATAAACGTGCTGTGACCTACAGTGAGCGACCGATCTCATGAAATGTTGGCCAAAATTCTGAAAGGCGTTTTTGATTAGGAAGGATTACTTAGGTGGGGTTATAATACTGACTATCCCGCGGCATAATCCTATAGTATTTCGGATTTGGCAGGATGTTGGCTTCTGAATGCACCTCATTTCAATTCGTTGTAGAAACCGTGCTGGGTAAAAAGTGACTACATAAGTAGCATGCATTTTTCACACTGATTTTCGATGGTCTTATAAATTCAAATATATTCTGTAAAAGACATGAACAAAAATATGCATACTTCCACTCTTTGGATAGAGAATTACGTCGTTTTCATTTCAGATATTCAACGAAAAGTTTAGTTTAGTTTTAAAGAGTTTTCTAATTACCGAATAATTTGGAGCCTGATTAGCCGTTGCATGAGCTCCTGATGATTTCAGTCTACAAGGTGCATGCGTTCCCCGTAAGGAAAATCAAACATCCCTCTACGCCTTTAAAAAGATGTCATATTAAGTCTACAAAATTTTGCAATGGATGTGGACTATGTTGTAAATTTCATGAGGAGCAGGGGTAAACGGACAGGTATGATGCTGTATGAATGGACACTACACGGTCTTGAAAAATTGCATAATTAGAAACTTTTGAAAAAATAAGTTGTACTCTTTCTTCAAGTATAAAATATAAAGTTGACCTGATTCTCTATAAAACGAAAGAAGGAGAACGCATTTTGTTCATGTATTTTGTAACATTTATTTGAATTTATAAGACCATCGAAAATCAGTGTGAAAAATGCTTGCTACTTAAATAGTCATTTTTTGACGAGTATGGTTTTTACAGGAGATTGGAAGGAGCTGCCTTCAGAAGCTGACATCCTGCCGAAACCGAAATACTGAAGGGTTTTGCCGCAAGCCAAGCAATACTACAACCTCACCTAAGTTATCTCTTCTGATCGAAAATGCATTTCAGAATAGTGGCCAACATTTCATGAGGTCGGTGACTCACTGTAGCACCTGTATACTATAAATACTGCAGCCTTCCTGTAAACATTGTTCTTACTTGATGTTGTCTCGAATAGTGGTCTTATGTGGCTAATACAAATATTACTCTAGGGCTCACATCTCCCCTTTACCAAACCGCACTCTACCAAGAATTAACAGTTTGCTTTAGGAAATTCTCAACAGCCGACTTTATTGTTTGTTTTATGAATGCGGTAGACAGCAGGGCGTAGTGTGAAAACGCAGCAACCTTCTCCGCTTCAAGAGCGGCGGGAGGTACCCTGTGCATCACATTCGAATCCTTCAAAAACTCACTGTATGTCCGGAAGCTGAGCGCCTGTGTCGTATCCGTCGGGCAATCAGAAGGCGTATGATAGGTATGGCCGTGCCGGCACCGTGTTTCTTCTCCTCCCCCTCCCCCTCCTCCTGCCTGGAGAGTGTGGGAGCCGTGCGGTCTCCGGAGGAGGCTCGAGTGGCGACAGAGCCAGCAGTTGTCATTGAACTGGCCGCCTGCGTGGCCTGTTTTAACACGGCCCGCAGCACTGCGAGAGGATTGGCTGTGTTGAGCAGGGAGATCCCATTTACCTCAAGTAGCTCATCACCTACCCGCAGTCGACCGTCCTTAAAGGGAAATTTGTTGAGTGAAAAAGTGAGCGAAACATTGCCCAAGCAAATATCAGTGGTTACTATTAACAATATTAACACTTCATCTTTGGTAAAAAAAAAACTCACGTGACTATGAAACTGTGACACTCACCGATTATTTTGGGGGACATGTTCACTCCGTTGTGCCTTGGGACCAATCCAGAGACCTTTCAGGCAGTCACATGGTGACTAGTAGCATATGCTGACAGTGGAATACCGACAGAGACCCCTGGGTTCGAATCTCAGATGGTCTGCATTTGGGGTTGGGTACGACTGGCTGATGATGACTGGTAGGCCAGAAATGTCCGTTCCGGCCTCCCTTGCCTTTCTCGGTTTCCCATTGGCAGCAATTACGTGACTGTCAGAATGATGGACTTGACTGCCCACTGACGCTGGGCAGTTTTTATTTTCCGATTAGGCCAGTTTTCCAGCACTTTACTTATTTTAACATCCTAGACTTAGTAGTAGGCGAATCTAAGTTCACCGATTTTCCTGTTTAGAATTTTAGGCTATTTAGTGCCGCCGAAGTCCCCGATGATTCGCTCGAGCCACTTCCTCCCAGTCATCCAATGGCTTACGAGCATGACTGCGTAGTAACCTGATTGGACAGACGGATGGCCAATGACGTTTGAAGATCACATACATCACAAGACAACAGCCAATAATATATCGGTGCTCTAGATGGGCTTTGCAAAAATAGGTGCAGAACACCGCCCTCAAACGCTAACAGGATCTTACCGCATGGGCTGCTCCACCCTCGATGATGCCTTTGACAAAAACGCCACTGGCGGTGGAAGACCTCAGACCCACTGGACTGGTCCCCCAGGGCAGGGAATTCCCAAGGGGATCTATCAGGTTCTGTTGTTGCCTCAGTCTAGAAGGTTGCTGATGCATTCTTCCGGATTCCGAGGCGACAGCAGGGCCGACCATATGCTGCTTGCCTTCGAGTACCCAGCTGCTGTTTTCGAAGGCACCAGTGACCCCACCCTCACGAACACTCACTCCCAGACGCATGGTCGCCAGCCGATTACGGACAGTGCCGCCGCTGCTGCTGCTATGGCCTCCAGGGGTTCCACCACCCGCAAGAGCCGGACTAGAGGGGATGGACGTGGCGGTGGTGGTGACTGTCTCCTGCGCCGATAGGAAGGGGCCCGTTTGTAGTAGTGGGATGTCCAACTTCAAGTAAATGACTTTTTCGAATCGCTAAGCAGAGAGGGGAGCGAGAGAGAGAACGAATAATACAGCCATGTCAATGTGTCTGACGGCAGGTAAGAACAATATGCGTTAGATGTTCGCCAAATGATAACTTCATCGCATTAGGATTGGTGCTGTTGATCGGAACTGGGGGTCGTACTCGTTCTATTTTATCAACATAAAGGCAGCCGATAGTTATGCATGAACCATTACCAATCAGAGTGCATGGCTTTAAAGTAAACAGCTTTCTTACCGGATTCTTTAGCATTCCATTGACTTTTCACGGATAGAGATTAATAAAAACAGACATGAACACAAATACCTAGTTGGCGACGACTCTTCGCATCAGCTTACCTCACTACATTAAAAACTGCTTCGGATTGTTTATGAAATGAGGAAAATATCTTACCTCGGGATAATCACTGACATGGGAATCATCCAGGCTGCCCAGTCGACAACTTCCAACCTGGTGAACCTGTCTAGCGTAGTCTGGCAATCTGACAGCGCAGTTTGGAGACGGACAGTGGCATCCAAGACCGCTGGCACCTCCCACGGATCGATAACCCTCGTAGAGTGGAGAGGAGTCTGCGTTGACGGTAAAACCTCCTTGGTTTTCAACGGGCACCATTGTGATATCCCCAGTGATCGGCCGGCGGGGCCGACGAACTACTAGTTCGACCTCTGAACCCACGGGCTTTACGCGTAGCAGGGAGACAATCTGGGCTTGCGACTTCGTCGACACGTCTTCACGGTCAACCTTAAGGAAGTACAACAAAATTAGAACTACTATCATTATATCAGTAGGTTATATGTAACGAGTGTGAGTTTCAACCCTGATGGGTGCTTTTCGGCCAGCTGAGTGGGACCTATTTGAACTGCTAGCTGTTGATAGTGCATCCAAACTCCAAAAATCATTCAGTTGTCAAAATCTACCAATTAGCCTCTACGGAACATTATTCACATTTTATGGCTTCTGTAAGGTGTTTTCCCTAAGCTTACTCTGGTTTTTTTGCTTTGCGGGTTGAGGGCTACGTGCAGAGGTCGAAGATAATGTTCGCGTTTAAAGACGCAGCCTTCAATTATGTCCTCCTCTGTTAATGCCTACACACGCCTCATTTATCATTTAATATCTCAATACTTGGTCCTACCTATTGTATTCTGTCATTCTTAGTCGAAAAAGAGTGGGAAATTGTCTTTGCATATGATATTTCGGGTAGTAAGTGGAAGTAGAGTTTCCAATTCAGAAACCCCTGTAAGTTGTTGGGGGATTATTTGCCAAATTGGCCAACCGAATGTTTACTAGTGCAACGTAGAACGTACGCACCATGAGAAATGAGAGGTGAGAAATTATGCGACCATCATGAGTTCCGTTCATGTGTGGGTTATTATAATGTTCGTTTCAGGACAAATAAAAGCGGCGAGGTTAGGAAAAGATGGAGGTACGCTGAAACGTAAGTTTCATTTCAAAGGTTGCAAGAACTAGCATGTAGGAACGCCAGCGCTCCAACAGCACTGCGTTGCTGCATAAATGACCGAAAAGGATTGAGAAAGGCACTTTTTTGTCATTTTGATAGGGAGACAGCTTTGTGGGTTTAAGGACGCCTGCGAACTCCAGCCTCCTAAGTCTAAATGAGCTGCCTCAAAACCTTAGCAAACCGTTGCATACAAAGTAGACTTGTCCCGTGAACCAGGATAAAGACTACAATGCCTAGTTTTCTCAAAAATGACTGACAACTGCGATAGCTCAAAGGTTGGGAAACCGGCTGGAATTTGGGCGATAACTGGTTCGACAAATTATTCAACCTACGGACTCGGCGAAAGGTGAGATATTCAGAAAAGGGATGGCTGGAATTACTCGGGTACGGAAATAAGGACGCCCCGTAGAACGGATGGCTTTGTGGTAATCTCCAATGGGGTGCCTGTTCTCGTGTCCTAGTTTTAATCCTAACCGCAAAACTAACCCCGGCCATAACTCTGCCCCCCCGCACCTGGAATTCGGCACATGGCCGCCCGTAATACGGGGGTCCATGTTTCCGTGCCCCGCCCGTAAATTGGCCACGAAAACCCAAGTACTTCAAATATCACCTTGTGCAGTGTTGACATCTCCCATTACGTACTATCTCATCAACAGTCGATCTATTCAGAAGTCGCCTTGCTACGCGGAGCCTATTATTTATTTTGATCGGACACGATGTTCCCAATGGTCATTATTCAATTTCCGATCCCCAAACATTCACTTAGTTTTTTTCATTTGCTTCTTGGCAAGCCAACGTATGCATCAAGCTCAGTTCTTAGCTCGCTCAATTGGCTCGTGAGATATTTGCTTTAAAGGCGAGATTGCGAAAGTACTTTTCAGGGTATATAACACATGCCAGTTCGGAGACTCGATCACGTACAAACTTACCACTTTTTCACAAGAATGATAATATATACGTCGCACTTACTAAAAATTCTACCGCGAAATTTGAGTTCTACTATTCAACTTTAGAAGAAACTTGGCAGTCCATAACATCTGTAGATGGAGGAGAAGTTTATGTATTTCACTACTAGCTTCGAAATTGGACGACATTTTGCGGACGTTCTCAGGTGATGGAATACTGCATACGTAGTATGTCGTCTGATTCAAATGAAATGGAATATTCTGCAAACAACAGAGGATCGAGTTATACGCAAATCGGCAGTGCTACTTGTGCATCATCTTCGGAGAGGATAGACGTTTTTGGGAACGTGTGCAAACATGGATGAGTATCTAAACCTGGTGAGGAAATACCCGCCGCTTCGGCATGGACGCTTGCCGCAAGTCAGGTAAGCAAAGCCAATGTTTAGAATGGTACCGGGTGGAAATTAACTCGATATTATGCTCTCTGCTAGTCAAACCTGCATCCGCACCTACTTAGCCTGATTAATTAGGAAGCGTAACGGCCAGTATTCCAGGAACATTGACGCACACAGTAAGTCAAGCAAGGCTGGAACAGCCAGTTCAAGGAACAGATGACTGGTGACCACTCGGAATCCAATACCTCAAGCTTGCAGCTCTGACTATAACACTCGGACACCCATCAGCTTACCGCACGATCGAAAAGAGTTTGTGGGTGTCGAAAGAGTGAACTTAAATTTCGGTTGTCATTGTCCTATACCTACTTCTCCACTCGCAGTATTTCTGCAGAATTTTAGGATTGCGAACTCCACATTCCACTTCACGTCTCCAGAAACCATTATCTGCATAACATACCTCACGGATACAACCGTGATACTGCCGAGGAACGCCACAGCCACCCCAAAGTGGTGCCACTCCTGACAGGGGGATTGAAGCACTAGCTAGACTAATATACCTGACGCGTCGGAATGGAGGTTGAGGATAAATTTAGCAGATTTAAGGAGTGGCTGGGAAGACAGCGATATTATGGCCTGCACGCCAATGATTCGTTAACGAGCAATGAGGCGCGCAGTCACCGCCGTACGCATGCTACGCACCTGCCCTTCTCTCCGACCAAAAAGGAGCCCAGCTTCACCCAAATGACTGTTTGGTGCAAACCACAGACCCAGTTTTGGATCAGCGACAACATTGCTGCACATTTTGGGCTGCTGCCGAAGACGTGGCCAGCACACCGACAGATAGAAAACAAACAGCTCTTCCCTAGTCGGGGACTAGCCGTCGGACTGACGTACATTCAACATCAGGACCCGCTAAAGAAGACTTTAAAATCAGTCGCTGTTGGGAAGTGGAGGTCAACGGCATAAGAAACCTACTCCGAGAGTGTCAAGTCATCTTGCAACATTGCAAAACTTCGCATTTCAGTACACATGCCTCCCAATGTCCTCCTCTCCTCAGATCGCCTCGGAATGAGGATAACCAGTCAGTCTAGCAACATCGTCCTCTGGAAATGGAGCTTGCAAGCATTAAAATTTGAAAAAAAATATGCACTGAAATGGAACATATGGCCTAGATGGAGATCGCATGAACGAAGACGACTCCGACGATCGTATCCATTTAGTTGAAGATCTTCCAAGAACCCGCTTCCATCTAACTCCTTTCCACATCGACAACTTAGTTACTTTATATAACTGTTAGTTTCAGGATATTCCTAACATGTAAAAGGAAATCCACGAAGGCCAATTCTACTCTAGACTTTGTTCCGGGGCGTGTTGCAGTACATAATGTGGTCACGTTTTACTTGTCTCTCAGCGTGGAAATAAAACAGAAATGTCAACCTTTCCTAGAGTTGGCTCAGTCGCTCAAGACTTATGTTATTTGCGCGAATGAACTATTGAGGGGGTTAACCCAAAATGGGAAATAAGTCATTTTACAGGCCGTTGGGCTCGATCTGACATGGGGGAAAAGACCAATCTCGAGGCGTCCACACGCCTATTGTCATTACAAAGCAATCGCCGTTACCCCTCCCCCCCTACTTTTTCTCATCCCTTTCCCTCCTGTCCGCCACAAACAGTTTTTTCCGCTCCGCCGACAGCGAAACTGACCTAGATGAGCCACGATGACGCAATTGACTGTCCGCATGTCGCTACTACACGGAGGGGCAGCCACTTAACTAAGAAGTGGGTAAGAACAGCCAGCTGGTCTTGGTGGAGCATTTTCGGCATACCAGAGCTAACAGCTCACATTTTCTGGACTGTGAGAATGTATGCCGAATGGTTTAAGAAGAGATGACTTGGAGCATAGAATGGAAGAGGAGGCAGACGGAGGTCAATAGAAGTATGTATCTTCAATTTGATGGTCGAAATTACATTTCTCCTCAGATGTCGAGTCCTCGCTTCTCTTCCATTAGCATGGACAGTTTTCCTAAAATTTGTCCTCAAGACCGGACTCAGATTCTTCTCCCACGATTTCGGTAGCAATTTATCTAGCCCCTCTTCCTATGTCCTCTGTTCGTCAACTTTTCCATTCAGCACAAGTTTGCACCTGCGACGTCTAGAGATGTCTAGGAGTTATTTGGTACGCGACATAGCAATTGATTGATTCCCATTAAGACCAACTGGCTCCAGGCGTTTCGGATGAAGGGGGATACGGAGATTACAGTTCCCCAGTCACCAGATTTCCTTGTCTGCATTCAACCCTATTAACAAACTGATGAAACCAGTATGCATGTGACTTGTCAAAGCGAGGCTAATTACAAGTTCGGACAGTAACTACCTGCTTAACTACGAGCAGAGTTCAGTCCGCTCGCCTTACAGCCGACTGACAGAACACCAACCACTGATAGGGAAGAGATCAAGCATGCCTGAGAACTCTTCGTATTGAAGCAGTACCTACAACCACTAACTGAGGGGATCAGAATGTCTTGGAAGAAAGGAAATCCAACACTCATGTAGTCCCATCATGACGGATCATTCTGCATGTGAATGGTGCTTGGGAGGCAGTAGCTAGGTTAAACACGTCTGACTCATTTGTGCACCAGCAGTTAATGCTGCCCAAATAGATCACCAGTCATGGATAGTCAGTCGTCTTTTAATGACTTTGATGAATCATGGGTACTAGCTAAATCTGGAGGCATACATGTAGCCGATTTTGTGATTTTGAATGAAGTAATTGTCGGGCGTTGGGCCTCAGTAATTCGCATATCGATCCTTCCTTAGTTTGCGATAGTGTTTAGTTTCCCGTTGTTAGTGGATATTTATGGGAGCTCAAGTGACTGTTCACAATGCTGAGCGACAATGTTAAGTTATTACAAAGTTTCTGGGAGCTTGTTTAATTCTATGATTGGACGTTTTGGAGTGGAGGTATTTTGGGGTTTTAAAAATAAGAAAAAATAAGTAAATGCACTTCGGAAAGTACTTCGTCTTTCAGACCCATAGGGCTTACGGGTTAGCTACAAGCATTTTATTCGAAAACAATAAGCCGTTTTTCATTATTTTTCTATAATGAAATACACGAAAATCCAAAGTTATTTAAATTTATTCGAAAAAACTGTTTGCCTTGCAAGCATATTTTAAAGAATGCACAGTTCTTAATCGAATTTTTAATCGAGCGATTTCAAAGAGGAGCATTCTCTTAGTTAAAGGCGTCTTGCAAGTTCCGGATTAGTGACCTCTCTTAGACAATTTAATTAATATCTCCCTGGAGCGTGTTTAGGCAATTTAAACAAAGGCGCCTTGTATGTTTTTTAACCCGTTTCCGCCACCTCGCCCGGTCTTCAAACCTGTTACCCCTTGAAACTTGTTGACGTTCTTTCATGCTCGTCCTTGACCGGAGAGGCCCATTTCGTGCAACCCTTTTCTCAGCCTTCTGGACATTGGAATATTTTGCGCAGCTTCCAGCAAAATCCTTCTTTGTAAATGACTCGCCCTCTTTTAAAAGACCATTAAATTTCCTCTCGACTATTTCAAATGCGCAGTCTATATGTAACTTCACAAGAGTGCGAGGTTACTTGTAAACCACCCCCGCCCGCAGGTCACCGAGGGCCCGGCAGAGTTGGTGGGGCTTTGTGTTGACGGTCTCTCCTTGTCCGCATTGTGCTTCCACTGAAAGCTGGTCTTCCTATCCGAAGGGGTAGTCCTTGGTATACCACACAGGTTGCGCAACTTGCCTTACACGTCCCAGTCACCGAAACAGTTGACTACATCTGTGATTTTCTATCTGCCATTCATCAAGACATAGGAATACCGACGAACACACAAGGAACTAATACTAAGGTGCACATTAAATGTGCAGTTCCTTTTTGACAACAAACTCTATAGGCAAATAGACGGCGATGCTATGGATTCGATTCTTGGACCTCTCTTAGCTGACGTCTTCATGAGCAAGCTGGAGAGATTTCAACAAAGCGATCAGATCAAAAAGCTTAAACATTACAGTTGCTACGTTGATGATATCTTTGCGATTGCAACCACAGAAACCGACGTTGCTGCCCTCCTAAATGTTGTAAACCGAGCACATCCATCGATCAAACTCACGTCGGAGATGGAATCGGTCGGTTCGCTTCCTTTCTTAGATGTTCTTCTAAACAGGAGATCTGACGGTAGCATCTGAAAAAGCGTCTATCTGAAGAAAACCTGGTGTGAACAATACACGAACTTCGCTAGTTTCGTACCTCTCCAACAAAAGCGAAATCTAGTCAGTTGTTTGACACAAACGGCTAGAAAAAAAATTGTTCAACAGATAGTATCGAGGATGAATTTAGAAAAATCCAGGACTTACTTCGCAAAAGCGGGTATCCTGACAGGTCCAAAGAACCGTGCCGAACGACCCGCAAAACCCACCACACTGAACGCCGAAAAGAAAACGTCGTTCCTCAAAGTCCCTTTTCATGCAGGTTGCGCAACTTTCCTTACACATCCCTCACATGCTAAAATGAGGGACTTTATCAGGTGGGCTTTTCGCGCTAATCAGCAGACGCGTTCAAGTTAGTCAAACGTTGTCCACTGTATCGACGAGGAATGAGTAGAGGGATCTTTCTCTAAAAGTAGCTCTACGTGACACATACTCGGATTTCCCAGACCACAACATCAGTCTTTTAGCGGTGGAATCGGAAGACCTTCTAGAAAACTTTCAATTTACGTTTAAATGCCTTGACCAGCCCACTTCATGATTGGACAACGGGAATCTCTCTTCCAGATTGCTGAGTTTTCTTCAGCCCAAGGCTTGCAGTATTTCGGAGTCCGTGCGCCTGAAATTCCCCTTAATCGCCTGTTAAGTTGAAACAAACGCCAACTTTAGCATCCTTCTTGCAAGCCTGATGTCCTAATAGCCTGTCCGCCAAGTTAGTCTTTTTTTCAAGATCTTATCTGCATGCATCATTTTAGTGCGTTTGGGAAAGAGGCAGAGATGATAGGGCAACAGGCAGTGAATGGGGAAAGGAACAACGGAACAAAAAAACTGTCCTGAAGGAGGAGGATGAGGAGGAGGAAAAAGAGAAGAGAGGAGGGGGTGGGGATAGAACTTGCCTTCATTAGCCTATCACCCAGACGAAGGGTGCCATCCTTCAGAGCAGCTCCCCCCGGTATGATACTCTTCACACAGACCGCTCTTCCATAAATAGGCGTAAACTTTTGAGTTCGTTGTTCCTGAGTTGGTTGCCGGTGAAGCTGGGTCCCGCTCTCCGGTTGGCCGGCCATTGTTTTGGTCCTTCCGCCGGGCGACTCGCTGCCACCGCCATTCTCCGCGGTGGTGTAGGCACCGAGAAACATCTCCCGCGTTGTTAGGCTAAAGCCCAGCCCAGACGCGGCTGAAGTGGACGGGGAGAGAGGGTAGGGGAGAGAAGTTAGTTGTCCCCGAGTTATCAAAAGTGTCTTTAACGTGCTTTATAGTGGCATCATGGAAGTTCTAACCAGATGCCCGACACCTGACGCCAAGCTAGAGCGAGGTATCCTGATCTACTGGTATACATGTAGATGCGATGACAGGAAGTTTATCGGCCTGACATTTTGGATATTCTCTCGAACCCATCATCAGAGGCAGTTGAGGATGAGGGTAGTGGAGGCACAAAGAGTGGAGTATTTATAGTAGGTAGCTGCCGCGGGAACACATGCTTGCTATAATTAACAGCTTTCGCGATCGTCTGGGGGGGGTCGTAATTGATGCATGATGGCTCGTCAGTCCGCGTCTGAGTGGTGAATTACCG